GTACTGATAGACAAGGTGAATTGGTACTAGAGTGCTGAGAATCGCTCACCTCCATCTATAGGGCCCAAAGTTGCAAGCGACTCTCGACTACCATCCGGAAGGTCAATGTCAACTTTGAGCACTTTACCAACATCCAGAGGCTCGGGGGCATATTGAGGCCTCGTAGCACCTGCGCGTACGCATAATCAGCTTTAGCGAGACAAAAGAGATGGCAGTCAAACAAGGTTAACGATACATATGGTAATCCTCATACAAAAAACAGCACAATAGCGTTGGATTCTAAACCATAATCCTTTGCTTGGTAAACTACGAAATGAATACCGGCTCTGTAACCCCTACAGCTGGAACATGACCGTACAAAGTACTTACCTTCAGTGACAACAGCAGAGGATCATTCCATGACACAGCAACATGCTCAACACAGCACAAGAACTCCACATCAGCATCGGTTGCTTACTGTACCTACGATGGCTTCAGCCTTGGCTCCATGCATACGATGCCACTGGAATATGCATTTTCCCAGCTCTGGGGAATGTGAATCAGCAGGGACGGTGACCAGGGAGGACCCAAGCCGCTCTTCGCCCTGAAGTTCAAAGTGTGCTGGAACTTCTGGATTCGATACCAAAACATCCATCTTTCTGCGAATAGCAACCACCTCAAGAGTCTTCTCAGTGAGCTGCTGTCGTAGACCTGCAATCTCATACTCCATGTCCATAACCTTACTAGGCGCGTGCAGCATCGTTATTCTGCGGGCTTCTTTAATTTCCTGTCGTAGCTCCGCCAGCTCCTGCACTCACCACGACTTGGCATTAGTAACCAGCCCAGGATGACTGTTGGCAACGTTGCCCTCGCGTACTTTCCACACAAGCACCTTCTTCAGGATAAATCCAGGAAATGCGATGCAATCCTCAAAATCAGCAGTGCATTGAGCAGGCAAGACGAGCAGTTCTATTTTCCAAATGTCTGATGTTCGACATTTTGCAGCGTTGTGCGCTGGAACATGTTCATTCTGCAAGTTTTCTCGGACTCTAGCCATGGACAGAGGAAACCCAACTGTTGTTTTCATGCGTTTCACGACTGCGTCCCCGCAGATTGTACTGCGTATGTTCTTTTTTACACGCTGCACGGAACTTCAAGCATGAAACCAGAGTGACCTAAATCTCTTTGCCGTTTACCTCTTGCTCGGATTGACTCAAAGTGTGAGCCTGCTCTTCCAACGTTTGTTGACAACGAAGCGCAGTGACCCGTGCAGCCTCGATCTCAGCTTGGGCTTCTTGCCGTTCCTTCTCTATGATACTCTTAGCATCCTCCGAGGCCTGAAAAATGGTGCATGTCATCGTTAGCATGCAATCTCCCGCAACTGAAGCAACTGGTAAAGGTAAGTATGGATGCTGCTTCTATTACTAGTGTGGTCACCGACACACGGCCCATTGGATTGTCCGCTTCAAAGATTGGCGCCCGGATTCTAGAGGGATCCTCACATGCTGAAGAAGTTGTGAAACAGGATTTACATGTACTGAATACAAGGGAAATTACTCATAGAAGCTACAGAATTACGATAGGTTGCCGCAACCTTCTGGAAAAGAGCAGCGAGCTTCCTCGACTCTTCTCTTTCCTGCACAGCCTCAGTCTCCTGTTGTGTCCATTGAGCTTCCACTGCGTCTACCTGTGACAAAATTATCAACTCAAAAATCATTCAACGATTTTGTACACGAGGGAACACCTTGACTTCCCTCATGTGTCTCTCTGAACAGTACCACAACTCAACGCTATTGTCAGCACACCTCAAATCCAATTCGTAGCATGATTTGGAACGGCTATGATCATCGCATGTCTACTTTGAGCACCATCTTCCAGTTACGTAAAGAGGACAGCCATAATTAAGTAAGCAAGGAACATACTGTGATGAGAGCTTCAGTGACATCATCTTTGCTCCGCCCCGCAACACGGCCCAAAAGGTCTCCAAGCAACCCACGCAACTTTTTCAGAAGCGCTGGTTTGTCAAGGAGAGCCACTTCTTTTGCTTTTTGCTGGGCACAACCACGTCCAGGATCAGACATTCACCACGGGAGAGGACGCAGAAAAGAGCTCGCACGGCCAAATATAGTGCACAACTCGTCACAACGTTGTGTGCGCATTTATACTCAGAACACAAGTCATCCTCAGTGAGCTTCAAAGTCGCTAATACAACCCACTCGGTATTCGACCTAGTTATTCCAAGAAGATCCAAACATGATGAAAACATCCAAAGCAAAGTGTATCTGAATCGTTCTCACTTTTGCACATCCCAATTCTGTACTATGATGCGTGTTGGAATGGTCACACTGTAGGCTGTGGAAAACCGACCAGCCTTTTCTCCATGGCCCTAGAATTTCTTAAACCCATTCAGAACTTGCAGCTCTGAGGTTTCTCCAACCAAACACCAGGCCGTCCATGGCCACTAATTCCAAGGAGAGAACCTTTGCAGCTCCACGTACTATCCATTGGTGGCATCTTGGAAAGAAGGGAATCCCTAAAATACTTTCTTTACAATCAGCGCAGACTTCATGGCACATTACCAGTGCCGGGTGGCTCGTAAATACGCATATCCTACGTTGACGGGACGCTTTTTCCAAACCTTTATGAAACATCAGACATCGACGGTTCTTTGACCTCGAGACACAATGCAAGTGACCTTCGACAGCTTTGATGAGGAAAGGCGGCATCACCAATGCTTGCTGCAATTACCTCTTCGGCAAGCCTGGCAGCAGCTGCGTGTGCGGCGGCTTGTCGTGACTCAAACTTGCTCGCCAAATCCCGCACCGACATCCTCTTCACCCTTCCCCACAAGTCCGACGATTCTTTGCCCACCATCTCCCTGGCTGCCGCGAGCCCTTCCTTCCCCTCGTCAGTCCGGTCGTAGCTCACTTCCGCCGTGACTCCCGCGATGCTGGCCAATTTTTGAAGCTCCATCGTAGCTTGGATTATTTCGAGACCTAGCCTACCACCTTTTCACCTCGCCCCACAACTCGGAATTTCAAACCTGCCCTTCCATAACCATGATTCTTTTCGTGATCTAAATGAACATCACCCCCGATGAAACACGACGCACTTCTCCAGCAACGGCATCTCCATTCCTACGTGCAACTGTGATTCAAACCTGTCTTTACTAGTATCTTGCATCGTCGGTGCATCACCCTAATCTGCCTCTGTAAGCCGAAATTGGTCGCGCCTGTCCTCCACGCTGGCTGTCAATCCACGGTAGCCGTAATTAGATAGTCCCTCAGAAACGGAAAAACAAATCTAGAACAAAAATTTCTGTCCTTCCAGTGATCCTTCACCCAATCGGGAGCGCAACCCCCTGAGGAAAATCCTCCTTGCCCTAGGAAGTTTCGTTCCCGCCTAACCACCAAGCACACTGCTCTTAACAACCTCGAATTGCAATTACGCCTGATCTTGTCCCGTTTTCAAACAAAAGATGAATTCTTCTCCAAAAGCTTACAGCTACCTCCACACAGATCGCTTCACGGCAACAGAGAACGTCCTTCCAAGGTCACTGCTGTACAATTCAGTGCGACTGTTTTTGTCTTCTTTTTCTTTTTTCCCGAGGATGATGTGCTTCTGCAAAACAAGCCTGAAGTTGCTATTTAGATATAGGCTACCCGCATCTGCCAAGTAAGAGAATCTAGAACTTGCTCTGCTCAGGGGTAAGAGAATCTGCAAGTGGTGGCCCCTCGTTTGTGTGACTAAGTCTCAGCTCCGGCCAGTCATTCAGGAGTCGACAAAATGAGAGAACGTCATACAATGGCTTGACCCACCACAAGATCCGATGCCCAATCCCATCTCCACCAATGCCTCCTCTTACGACGACTACTACTACTACCTCTTTCTCTCGCCTCGCGCCGGGCAATGGTAACAAAGCAGCAATGCAGAAGAAGAATTCCAACTAGATGGGTTGTGAGCGATTGGGCATTGAGATTACCGGCCGGCGTGCGACAAACCCCTCGGAGAAATAGGCAGTCACGAATGCGAGACCATCTCGTTGCGCTTATATTCCAAAACCTCCAGCCACCGCTCCGAAAATCAAGAACCAATACGACGGAACGAAACAACCGAAAACTACAATAAGTCAGCTGCACCTTGCATCATCAAATGCACTCCAGGAATCCTAGTCAACCATCAGAGAAGAAACTGCGAGGCCCAGATGCTCCGCCACTCGAAGCAACCCTCTGGGTTCCCAGCAAACCCACACCCACAATGAGCCCTCAGATGGGGAAATGAAATGGCTTTGGCAATGTGAGAGGGAGAATTGGAAGGCTCAAGGACACGAAGGAGCGGTGTGCGCACAGTTCGCTGGATGAGGTGCTGCAATATGTACCCAGCGCCGATGGCTATGGTCGATGGCTGTGGCTCTCACACGAATCCCCGTCACGGGGACTTGGCATGAGATTTGGCGGGTCTCACTCAGGCTGGGTGGGCAGCAACAGCTTGAACTGTTCAAAAGGCACCGTCGTCACCGGACTGGAGGTGGTCCAGCGACTCCGTCAGCGCAGTTTGTGGGCTCGATGGATTGCATAACTTTCCGCGTCTAGCGATACCATGTCAATGTAGGAGGGCTTGGCTCGTTGCTCTCTCATTCCGCTTCATGCGTCGTCATCGACAACGACCCAGCCCCAGACCGCCCCATCCACTGCGATTGACGTCAATTGCTTCAGCTGCAAGCACCTTCGTAGACTCGATCGTGTCTGTCTATCTCTCTCTCTCTCTCTCTCTCTCTCTCTTTGTCTGTCTGTCTGTTTCTTAGCTTAGCTCAGCTTGGCTTAAGTTTTGGTTGGATTGTCACGGTAAGTGAGTGAGTGATTGAGTGAGTGTTGCACACTGCATTGCATTGAATGGTGTTATCCGCGAGACCGTGAGAAATAAGGAGTGCAGGCAGCGCACACTGAATTCAAATAGAGGTTGGAAATAGAATAGAATGAAATAGAATAGAATTGCTAAGTTAGGATAATAATAATAATAATAATAATAATGTGACATATGCTTCCTCCGTCCCTCCGTCCCTCCCTCCCACCCCACCCACCTCTGACTTTTGAATTCAATGGAAAATCCCCCCCCCCCCCAAAAAAAAACACAAAACACAAAACACAAAAAGAAAAGGCACTATCCATTTTGGATGGTTGCTCGCAATAAGGGAATATTAACTTTTCAATTGATTTTAGAAACTAACATAGAAATATAATAAAGAGAACCTTGAAAAGCGGATTGACCTATTGTTAGGGTGGGTATTATTTGAGGCGTTGCGGTATTTAATGTGGGTTTTGTTGTTTTTGAATCTTTCTTAAAAAGGACATCAAAGTTGCTCCGTTGGATTTTGAATGTGGTTCTTCTGCACGTCACTTGTACTATTCCTTTTCAAAATCAACATTTTGATTGGTGTGTCTTTGTTGGCATTTAATGTTTTTTTAAAAATAGAATTTATGAATGTTGAAATGCAACTTTATTTCATGAGAAACAAAATTTAAAAGTTGACTTGAGGTTTTATCAGTTAAAGCAAAAAAAAACATGTGAGTAAGGATTTTGCACAACTAAAAACACAAGAAAATTTGAATAATTCGTTGCAAAATGATTTTAAACATGGTACAGAACTTGTTACAAAAGAAAATAATAATTGAAAAAATACATATTTAACTAATTCTTTCAACTTACTGAATTAAAAGGATGATTTCTTTCTCTGTAGATGTATTAATCCCCAAAAGTAGTAATTTTTATATTATCAATAAAAAAAATTGATAGTTTTTCATTTTTGCACAGTTGATATGTATTTCATGTACTAAAATAATATATTTTTATTCAAATATCAAAGTATTTAAAAAAAATGATTGCAACAATGTTGTAGGCTGAATTCAAAATTTGATGAATATATTTTTTGTATTATGTAAACAATTTTTTAAGTATTTTTGTAACACTGCGGTTTTGATACGACTGTGTAGGATGGATGGATGAGCCTCATTTATCCTTATATCATTTATCCAAATTGGCCATGCATTGATTATACTATTTGTAATAGTCTTAATAAATGTGAGCTCATCACTCTGTTTTTTTAGTGTAAAATTAGAGAAGAATTAGATCTAATATTAAAATTTTATAATGATCAAATTTGTCTCTAGTCTACCATTATACATTCTTAGTATCTCATGTACCGATTTCTAAAGATACTGGAGAATTATAATTTGTATGTGTTAAATAACAAAGAGTTTTTCTTTTAAATGTTTTTGATGGCACAATGACCAAATTTCTTTGTATGATAGGTCAAACATAAGTATAATTTTTAGTTGCTTCTTAATAAAATATAAAACCAAACTGAGATTTGTTTTTTAAAATGTTATAAAACCATATTTTCATTATTTGGAACAAAAACTTATGTTTGACCTATCATAGAAAGAAATTTGGTGGTCATTTAAGCAACATTTTTCATTTATTCGACTCAAGCATCTAAATATTTATTTTATAAAAAAAAAAAATTCAAAACATTGTACAAAGATAAAATTAAGTAATGACCATTATTCTAATCAAGTAATTTTTTTACTATATAAAAAGGAATCAATATTTAAACCTTTGAAAAAGAATTTAACATTCATTCAGACTAATTTCTGATATTTTCATAAAATTAAATAAAAACTAGGAAAACGACTTCTCAGAATGTATTAATAAAACCTTTGCAAATATATATTTTTAAAAATTCTCTCCCACAAGTTTGATTTTTTTTTTCACAAAAATAAATATATATTTTGTTAATTTACATGGAACAGTATTGGTTCAAAAAATAATTTTAAAAATTGATTTTTATTTCTTTGTAAAAAATAGGTTTATGAATCCAATAAATGAAATCAATTTGTTACACAAAATAGATTTGGAAAGAGCCAATCATATAACAAGCAATAAAGAAAGGTAAAATAAAGGAATATTCTTTGAATTAGGTCAGAAAGTTTTTTTTGTTACAATATATTTCTTTTCAGAATTGTAATTTCTTAAGTTGGTTTTGATATTTTAATAATTTTTTTTTATTAATTACTTAAAATAAATTTGGTATCAAATAAACCAACTAAATTTTGATTGAAAACATGCATAGATTTAGTAAAACTTGTTTTCTATTTTTATTGCTATTTTATCTTATTTTTATTATCTTTGAATTTTTAGTTTTTTTTTTAGGACTTTAAGGTTCCAACCAAACTTATTACACTTCTTCAAAAGACTACAATTCTTAATATTGAACTATAATCTTTTACAGAACCTCTTATTATAACTAGTTTTATATTCTAACATAATTTTTATAACATCAATTCTAAATTATTAATCATAGTATCTAAGATAGAAGATTATATTTCATATATCTAACTACTATCCATTGTATGTAAATAAGTAATTTTCTAACATACAAGACTCAATTGAGTTGAATTGACTTTATAAGTATTTGAAAGTAACCAAACATATTTTTAACAAGAAATTTATAAATTATACAAGACGGTTGATAATTTTTTTCTTTTAAAAATTAACTAATATTGCATATTTATTTGGATATGTTCAGAATTCTCTTCTTCTTATTTGCAACTTATTCGTAAATCACTCACTACAAGATATTATTCACCATATTTCTATTTTATAATATTTAAAATTTTAATGTTGTTTATTTTAATATAATAAAAATTTAAATTTAATGATAAAAACATACACATGGTGATTTTTAACTTCTTTTTTTTATTAAACAATTTATTTAGTTTTAAGATCAAGTTCAATTTCCATAAAAGCAGGCGATTTAACATAAACTAAACCTAATAAGTATTCAAATATTTATTTGAATTATATGATTAGATTATTTAATAAAGTATTAATTATTACATTTTTATTTTTTTTTGCTTATAAAATTTGATTATTTAATAATTTCAAAAATATTTACTTCCTAAAGAATATGATCAATGAATACCAAATATCAATTTATCATCTATTAAATAAAGAGAGTCGCTAGGAAGACTTTCCTCTTTTACCTTGTAGACACCCCCCAAAGTCACACACCTCTACATACACACAACAATACTTTTATTTACACTAAAACAAAATAGGATAAATTTACATTAAAACATTTGTGTGTAATGGCATGAAGCACTCCTTCTTTTTTATTTTTTATTTTTATTATTAATTTCATAATTTAAAAATTACACTAAGCTTTTAATTTTTAACTTGTTGTATTGCATGTTAGTAGTTTTTAAACTTATTTAATTTTTGGTTGGTACGAGGAGGCAAAATGCATATTTTGTTCTACAAAAGAGTGAATAAAGCAAATAGTGGTGCAATTAAACATCAAAGATCGAAGTAGTGGTGGTTTACAAGAAGTTGTAATAAAATTATTTTTCAAATTCTTTTGTTAATTTTTAATTTCTTAAAATATTTTTTATATTCTTCTAATAATAAAAAAATAGATATTATTTATATGATCTATTCATGTTAACATCTATTTGTTCTAAATACTTCTATTTTATTTATAGTTATTAGTTAAATTAATCCTTCAAATAATTAATTATAATTAATTAATTATGTAAATAATAATACAGACTTAAAATAACTTTAGATCAATAAAAGACAAAAAAATTCAAACAGTATTTGCTGCAAATACTAATCTATATTCTACATACATAACCCTAAATCCTAATTAAAAAATTAACTCCTATTTATTATTATTAATTATTTAAATTTTAGATTTTAAATAAATTTTATAACGTTAATAACTATATAAGTTTTTAAATTTATAACATTATAGTTGATAATTTACTATTCAACAACAATAATAATTTTCTAATTTTACATATATGAAACATGAAGATGATCTAAAACTTTTTACACAATTTCAAATATGTAAGTGTGATTGTTAAAAAAAAGTTACATGTTAAAGAAAATGTCTTCTCATTTTTTACTTGTTTATAAGAAATTGATAATCTCATTCTTAAAATAAATTTATTCAAAATCTTAGAGTTCTATTATTTTGATTTATCAAAGATTCAAAGTACTTTGAAACTTGATCTTATTATTTATTACAATTTGAATTATTTACTGGAAAGGTGGATGATTTTCTCAAATAAAATTTACATCTAGAAAGTAAGATATATCAATCTCCAAACAATCAAGAAGGTGATAATTGCACATGTTGTTATTGATGAAAATTTTGAGCGTAGTAATATATTAATAGTTTTTTCTGATCACTCCTAACAACTATGATAAGATTTTATATTAAAATTAAAAAAACTTTAATATATTTCTTATTACAATTCAAATTAAACTTGGTTTTAAAAATTATTGTATTCAAAGTAAGCTTCAAGACCTACAGAAAATATTACAAAGGTATTTTAGATTAATTATAGACAAACACCAAAATCGCAGAAATTATGTGAACAAGCACTTATGTATGAGAAATAGCTTCATAAATGGATGAAATCATCAGCCCACGACAACAACGACAAAGAGTGAGATTGCATCTCATTGTGTCGGCAAGAATCACGGTGTCGGTGAATTCACCTTGCCAAAGTCCTCTTCGATAAATGTGTACACCTGAAATTCGACGTCGTCAATCTTTCCACATGAGTTACATGTGCGGGCAGTGTGTTGGAACATGCGTCCATGGATGCTATGTTACCTTTTCAGTGGGTTGCGCATCTCACTTCGTCACAGCTTTGATGCGAACGACGATCTGGGATTACTGGATCTGCTTTCGCCTTGATCAGCTGTGAGTTCCTGTTTTAGTTGACAGGATGTGGGTCCGATTGGGTAACGGTGGGCGTTAGACCTTTCCATGCGCTTCAGTAAGGCC